CTTCAAATACGTCGGCCACTGAAAACAGAAATACCTCAGTATATGTATCAATCAGTACTGGCACTCTAAAGCAGCACGTTTGATTTTTAAAAGAAAAAATTTTAGTTGGCACATGACGTTTTCAGGATATGAAAAGTTTTTTTTAACACGAACTTGGTATACCTGGTTAGTTGAATTTTTGTTCTGCTGCTTTTCAAATTCGTGTGTATGGGCGAGATGTGAGATACCTTTATAGACAACGGTTGAACAAAATCGATTAGATATCAGGGCAGTCTTCGCAAATGTAAGAAGTTTCCTTTTTCAGCGTCACATTTCGCACATTTATTATAAATACAGCTTTTTACAACACATCTTGGTATTGTCAATGTTAATTTCCAAAATGTAAGTCACTAAAATACCAAGTTAATTCTCGTTGACACAGACGAACACACTCTAAGACATGAGGCGTCCTCAACTGTGATTGGTGGGTGTGAATAGTTTCAAAGTGGGATTATGCGCAGTGTGTTATGTTCTATCTATTGTTCTGTAATCTAAGATTAAAGCTTAATTTTTTTTATTGGTATCTTTGGCTTCAACAACTAAGGTCATAGCCTCGTGTTCCATGTAGGTTATGAATTGTACTAGTAGTATAATAATACTCCATAGTGCAGGAGTATTAGTACTCTAATATTCCCACACTCCTACAGATATGCCTTGTTACTGTTTCCTTGCGCCATTTTAGGAACAGCACTGTTAATTAGAACCCAACAGTGAATGGTCGAGTGGGGAATCCTACCAAGGCATCAGAATTTATTTTAAATAATTAAATTAAATAAAAAAATCCCGGCCAACGGTGGGATTCGAACCTGGGACTCTTGAATCCGCAGGCAGAGACTCTACCACTAAGCCACCCACCCCCAAAGCTTAAATTTAAAATTTGGTGTTTTTCTCTTTATCTGAAATGACAATGATTAGAACTGATAGATAATGGTTTGCATAGAAAGAAGTCTGTTTTGAAGTTATGGTAACACTGCGGTATTGTAACTTGTTAATAATAAAAAATCAAGGTTTGTTCCAACAACAATCTTGGAACCATACACAAACCAGTCCACAACTTATTGTCGACGACTAATAGTCGACGACCAGTCCACGACCTGTCGATGATTAGGACTGAATTCGGAACTTGGTTGTGTTTTAACACATGTTTCTGTTGTCAGACACACTGTCAATAACGTAAAAGTTAAAAAAATTAACAGATGTTAAATTTTCAATTTGGTAAATAAAAAAATTATAACACTCATTAAAAGATTTATAAATTTTGATTATTCGATTGGTTAGCACATTAACTTATTTTATTTTTTACTGTGTCTAAGTCAGAATAATAGTCCTTTTTACTTCCTACACTCATTACTCATAAAAAATATACTATAAATAATGATAATGAATAAAAACCAAATTACGATCGAGACTACGATCGATGCTATCAAAACGAATATAATCCAGAGTTGGTTGTGATTAATTTACGAGCTTACTTTCGTTTTGCGTATGTCTTGACAATTCGTTCCCATTCAGACTCAGGAACTGATTTGACAGTACAGAAACTGGTTTGTGATTAAGTTTGAGTATGTTGGAACACTAGGTTTTTGTACAGTTTTGAGTCCGAGGTTTGTTGGAACACCAAATCTAGACTGCGCAGAATCCCGACAGTACGTGAACCGATTTGCTATTGTGTTGGAACAAACCTTCAGTTTACTCAATTGATCGAAAACGCGTTAAATGACAGGAATTATATATTCAAATGAATAGGTTATAAATTTTGAGCAATAAGCTACAAAAAATAGAGTTAAAAATGTTTGGTTAATTCATTTAACTCACCCGTCTATATAAGGAAAATAAAATCGAAAAATTTGAAATGCTTTCAAAAATAGCAAACTTTTAGTTGGAATAATGGTTATAGTACCTTTAATGAATCATTTTTATTGCACAATATCTTCCTTTTTTATTGCGAAAGACTTAAGATAGTGAATGTAACATTTTTCTCAGCTGTAAATATGCTAAATAATATTCCTAAGGCGTAGAGATCGTTCGTTTTAAAACAGAAATATAGGCAAAGCAATATGATTTATGCTAATTCGTTAATCGTGTTATTTTCCAATTGAACCATAAAGTTTCACATTTATTGGTTTTAAAAATAATTTTCTGCTAATTAGTTTTGTAATAACATACCTTTCATTACGGTAGATGTTACCTTAAATTAATTAAATGGGAAAATTTCTTGAGAAACGTTTCTTCACTACGATTTTTCGTTCTAAGACTATTGATTTTATTGAATTTAACTTTTTATTCATTTGCAAATATTAAGAGAGACTTACTAACAATTGATTTAATTTGTTTCATTTGTATTTTTTTTTTTTAATGGTATTGCACCTAATTTTAATTTCTTTGAGCGTAGAAATTTTTTTCTTGTTTTACTCTGAAGATTCTATCCATCAAGTAGAAATTTAAGAAGATCTCACAATATTGCTTTGGTAAAAGATTGTTTATTTTATATTCTAAGGCTTCTAATTATACTATATCAAAAGCCTGAGCTACGTCTAAAAAGTTTACTGGTCGATTCTTCTATGGTTTTATCGATGGCAAATATAGCTGTGTCATCGGCAAATATGACTACTTTCTTATTTTACGTTTGTGATATGTCGGAGGTAAACAATATATAAAATACTTGCCCCAGGACTCTTCCTTGAGGTACCCCTCTTAATATTATACGTTGTTTTTACAATTAAATGTTTTTAAAGCTCTAGCAAAAGGGTGGGTTGATATTAGGATGAAAATAACTCTGTAATTAAATTGGGCACCACCACGTTTAAAGCATGTGTACAAACTTTAAGAAATTAATGTTAAAAAATGTTGAAAATAACATTACCAATTAAATTTATTCTATATCGGTAAAAAACGAATTCTAATGTACTAGAGTTTCACAAAACAAAATTACTTTTAAAGTGTGTTTATTTGTGACTGAAGTTACAATAAATAATGTGTAAGTAAAATTTATCTTAAAGTTATATGCTTTCTTCTAGGGTGGAAGGAAGGTTTAAACTTTATAATATATCAAATTGGGACTCAATTCTCATATATCTCTCTTTGACAATTAGGTAAGGAACGACATCCGGTTAGTAAATCACATCACGTAGGTCTGTTTATCAAATCCAGCGGCACAATAATTTATTTAACATCCAAGGAAATAAACTGTTTCATAATATCCAAAATTAAGTCATCCGTTTAAAACATGCAAACATAAGTCATCTGTTTGAAACATCCAAAATTAAGCCATCTTGAAGCTGCCGAGCAGAATATCAGTCTGCGTTGGAAAATCAAAAAGAAATGAATTAATAACAGATTTCTCAGATTTACAATGTCAAAAAGTTATTTTATAAAATCTAAAAGACTAGACATTTTTCTTAATCCCTCATATATCACATCCTTTGAGAGAAGCATTTTTGTTTGAAAGAAAACATAGAATGAATGATTAAAACTGGTTTCCCATCAGTAAGTCACAAAATTGCATTCCAGCCACATATAATAATCAAAGGCAGAAATCTTGAAATCTAGTCCTAGCTGAATGAACATTTAAGAATAAAGGGATATTAAAGAACATCGTAAAATGATAATTTTTGTTTAATTAAAATCTTTCAAGTTTCTGATGTCTACTATTTCCAGCGTTACTGTTATTATTACAAAAATAAAGGTAATTTTTCTTCTTATTGTATACCTGTCCATTTATTTCTTTGATTTAATTTCCACTTTGCTACTAAAATTTTTTGTATAAGTCCTTCTAAAATTATAGGTAGCTCGTTATACAGATTTAATGTAGTTGACGTCATCAAGAGGTGCTTCTCTTATATCGGCCGGTGTTAGCCGATACTCGTCGTACACAAATCGTCTAATAAATCAGCGTCATGCAATCGAATAATGTACTTTCATTAATAACAATTTTTTGCGAAATTAATAACGTTGAAATATCAAAGGAAGTAAATAATAGTAAAGCAAAGGTAGATTTATGCTGAGTTTGAATATCCACATCGAATGCATATGAGATGTTGTTAATATTTGATCACGTGATTCAGTATACGTAAATGTAGCAGGATAGATGTGTCCGATGTGGATAAACAAACGCTCGAGTTCAAAAAATGCATCGGATTTGGATATTCAAACGCAGCAAATACATGTGATATTACGGCAAAAATCTTTAAATTTACACCACTTAACAATGCAATACATCACCTAACCTTACTTACTTATGAAAAGATTCTTCAGTACTCACACTATCCAGTTTTTTGCACAAAATGCACTCGTGAACTATGTTGTTAGCTATACACTAAAAGTATAAACCGAAACATTTCCAAAAAAGTATAAAAATCAACAAAAACACCCGATATGGAATAATTTACTGGATGGCAAAGTCGCAAAATATCGATCGATAAAATACTATACGTGACGTATAGTACGAATGAAGCAAGGTTATTTTCAATTGCTGTGATGTCACGTTTAACTTTTAAAATCCATGCATTTATTTGCAGGCCTATTAATGGTGTTTGCCATAGTTTAACTTAGTATTTGCAAAGTTGTTATTTAGCAGGCGTAAAAATAGATACAAAAATGCCATGCATAATGGTCTAAATATAGGTGTTGCCAAAATATAAAGTTTGCTAAAAGGTTGTTAAAATAGCTTAATGTACTTTGTACATATTTTATACGTTTTATTTAGAGACTTACTATTAGAAATGTTTCGGGAAATATTGCAACAACAATGCGTCGGAGTGGGAAACATTAGGTACGAAAATGAATTGGTGGGGACGCTTGATGTGTCGCAATATATTTCGAAACTATTCTAATTAATAAAACTTATTTCTATTAGTGAGTTATAGGTAAAAAAACTATTTTTAAATATGAAAGGGATAAACTACACAGCCTGGCAACAGCGCACCAGGCAACGCATGTCGGTTCTTTTACGAAATAGCTAGGCGCTACGTTTCTTTGCAATGTATGACCGGGTTTAAAGATAAATAGAGGAGCTTTGAGATTACCCTATCAAGAAAACAATCTAAACAAACTATTTTTCCAATTCTTCCTTTATTTTATCGTACCTTAAATTTTTTGTCTCTGGAACCAGAACGAATACAAAGAAAATACACGAAAGAGATATACAAGTAAAAATATAAAACGTATAATCGGTACCGATTTTTTCTTCTATAACTAAACAAAATCTCGTTACCAAAAACGCTGTCAACCAGTTCACCGCGCACGCTACAGAGCCCATAACTTGCTTAACAGCCGGAGAAAATAATTCAGCCGTAGCCAACCATGGTATCGGGCCTAAGCCTATGTTAAATCCTACGCAAAACAACATCAGCGATAGTGCAGGTAGAAAACTTAAAGTTTTTACATACTGACGTCTGGCATCCGAATGGTATTTCAAAGAAAAATAAAAAGCTAGGAGGAAAGTAGAAAAAGCGCATATTCTGCACGATATCTGAAGTAAAAATATTCTTCCGTTTCTATCAATAATACTAGCTGCTAGTACAGTCGATATAAGCCCAGTAATTCCTGTTGCTATTACCGCAAACTGTACAGGTATATTAGATCCTGATTGTAGCAAAATATCTTTGGAGTAGAAAGACATAGCATTAACACCAGTTAATTGTTGATACAGCATTAATCCTATACAAATCACTGTCGCCTTTTTGTTCGCCCTAGTTTTTACGTCCTTCCAAAAGTTGCCTGTTCTCCTTTCTTCTTCGATTTCATTTATTATTACTGCTAATTCTATTCTAAAGTCGTAATGATTACCTCTTAAGCGTTTCAGACAGTATTCCGCCTTTTCAGGCATTCCTCTCTTTAGATTATAGAAAGGAGTTTCTGGTTGAAACAGGAAAACCACTCCAAATATAACTGGTACTACTAGACATGCTATGTTGTAGGCAAGCATAGGCAAGGCCCAACCAAGTATTTCGTCATATAATACGCCGATTACTATAAAAAGTTGTACGAAGGTGCCCAACTTTCCTCTGATATGTGTTTGCGCTATTTCTGCTGTATAAATTGGTCCTATTACTACGAATGCTCCACCAGCTGCTCCTGTTAATACCCTTCCGAGGTATAGCATTAAATGAGTTTTGGAATATATGATTAACAACCATCCAACGACGAATGGTATAACAGTGCCTAAGCAGGTAGGCTTTCTTCCTATAGTATCTGCTAAAAATCCTATTGGAAAACACACCATCATAGCTCCTAATGTACAGCAAGATCCTGCCCAACCTAGTTCGTCGTTGTTCATTTTTAATCCGTTGAGTTTCCCATTTTTTAGGTCATCTGTGATGTTTGATGTCCAACCTAATACTGTTCCTGTACTCCAAGCTCCCAAACAAATACTCGTTGCTGCTACGTATTGAGGAAGAGTTTTAGCCTCAGCCATTAGGAACGGCTTTTGTTTTTTTATTCGTATACATATATTTTATTACATAAGATACTGGTGAATAATTCAATGTGTGTGTGTCATTTTGACAGTTTTAAAATTTTAACAGCCAGGATCTGGCCAGTTGTTATTATCAAGGTGCCCAAAACCATGGAGGTGTAGTAGGGAGAGGAGCCGCTACTCCTGTGACTGAAGCGGTATCACTTGCCCCATTGCTTCCATCATTTGTGACATTTACTTATACGTTTTGTGATATGTGTTTATTTTTAGGTATTTATTGCGTTCTTTTCATTTTTATATAATGTTAGTTGAAAGACCTTGAGGACATAATGGTATCTTGTGCTTTAAGAGATTGTACACGCCTAGGTCGTGCAGAATTTAAAAAATTATAGGGTATAAATGTTATGAATGTTTTGGTATCTATCTAGGTTATGAGGTTACAACAATTATATTAATATCATGTTTTTGTGTTTCACTCCTGGTGTGATGCCTTGCCCAAACATAAGACCAATAGTTCCTATCAACATGAGTCCGCAGATACTATTTTTTTTTTTTTTTTTTTTTTTTTTAATATTATTGATACTATTTTAACAATGAGAATGAAATTTTAGTTGTGTAATGTACTCAAAAAAGCAAACATTTTAGCAATAAAAAGATGTAAATAGGTTTAACAGAGGCGCGTGTGCGAACGAGCACTTTAAAATGTTTTAACAAAAAATATGTACGCTGACTTTTTCACTTTTGATAGCACAATTAAATATTTAAATGACTATAACGATAACTCTAGAACGAAAGTTCTGATTGACTTGCGGTTTTGATTTTCTTGAATAATTACTTCTAACTTAGAACCCTATTGATTTTCAGAATTTTCGATTCATCCTAACTACTTTAATATCAATTTTCTTAAAATCCACATATGCATTTCTTATGTGACAATTTTAGGAATTCCAATTATTTCTAACGTCAACATTCCTAACATTCTTAAAATTCCATAAATTGCAAACATTCTCTAACGAACTGTCAAACAACAGCTGTTGATGGTAAAGGTGAAATTTCTGAGGCGGGTTGCGACCTTCATACTTGCAACCATAGCCATTTTGGAGGCTATTTTTATTCGAAATAAGTAGCCAAGCCTGCCAATTGTTTCGCCCCTAGAAACAAAAATACCTTCATCAAATTTACTGGCACTCTGTCGCAAATCCATAGAATAATTAACCAGCCATTTTATTTGGCAAAAATCAGAATAATGCTTGTCTGTGCCTGTCAAGTATCAAGATGTCAACTGTGATGTGTGAATGGCTCTTAAATGTCAAATTATTTAAAAATGGATACTTCTTTTGATATTTATTGCAAATAATTTGTAGTGTATCTCAATTCAGGCTTTCTATAAATAAAGGTACACCAAGACAGATAATATAATGTTCTTATACAAAGCACTTTTTTATTATATAAAAGGGAGGTAGGATATAATGCTGGTTTTTTGTAGAACATTTTTATTATACGATTTTGGATTACATATTCAACCAGCGAATTGTAAATAATAATTAGTAAACTTCTAGTCATAAATTTCCTCAATAAATAAAATTTAAAAATGTATCTTCTTACCTTGGTACCGAGGTATTTTGTTGTTTTTTATTTTAATTATAAAGTTGTCATTTATTTGTATGTTGAAAGAAGGCCTTTGTAAATTAAATTGCTCTATATGGATCAACTTTAACACAAAGTTTAAGTAGAATTAATATAACATCAAGTAATTTTTTAAAATAAAGTACATGATCTCAAAACAAATAATTTATAATAAATGCGGGTAAAACGAGGGGTAAAATAACAATAAATTAAGGGAAATACTTAAAAAGGGCAGGTTTAAAGAGTATTATCACAAGAAAGTATATCCGTTCTGTTTATTTATCAAGTATTGTTTGAGGTTACTTTTTTTTTAATTTCTGTAGGCAGTCTATTAAATTTTTTAAACCTTTAATAAAAATTGTATTTTGGGACCTTTTAGTGATGGCTTACCGTACATGAAAGTCAGATTGGCTTCTTGTATTATAGTTGTGATATTGCGAATTATATTGAATTTTTTCTAATAGATCTGATGCGATGGTACTGAACATAATTCTGAACTGAAAGCCAATTTATTTCTTTTAACATAGTTGCAATACTCATCCTTTTGTCCTTTATTAATATTATATAAATAGGCGATGTAAGGAGCCCAAATATTTTACATGAGCAGGTTTAAGAGGTAAAGGAGCGAATTATTATTGGATAGTAGACATAGTCGGAACATCTGGTGGGTACTTTATAAAGGGTCGTTCTTCTATTTTATGAAATATATCTGTTATTTACGCTTGGAAATAAAAGTTGCTTGTAACATTACCCCTATAATTTTTGTTACATAAATAATTTTCTAAAATGTACCGTATTCGAGAAATTTAACAAAAATTGCAAAATTCTAATTTTTAAGAAAATTTTTCAAATAAAAGTTTGTTGCCATATCATTCTCTATAATTTTTATTCTATATATGATTTTCTCTAAAATGAACCGTAATTACAGGGGTGATACAATAAGTTGTACGAAATAACCGGAAAAAGCCTGAAATAACCAGACAGGAATGTCATGTGTTGGACACATCAGATTTTTATTTAAGGGCCTATCTATTACAATAATACATGTTCTTTTAATTAGGCATATCTATTTTATTCATTTCGTATTCGAAAAAATACGTTTTAAATACTCTAATAATTGTGAATTTCCTAACTGCTTATATAAATATCTTCAAATTAGAAAACTTCACATAAATATTGATACAAATTTTCTTTTGTCATTTACTTTGTATTAGATATATCACGTAAGTAATCATTGAATTATTCGGACCTACTTAAGGCGCCATTTTGTTCCATTCTAATGTCCATCTAGTAGTACCACATTATTTGAATAGTTGTATGGTATGTCATCTCGATGGTTGGAACAAAGACCTATATAGCCTTCATCTTTTGCATCGCATATGTAAGAATTATTTTTTTTATTGACAATAATAACACATAATTTTGCATTATATGGTTCTTCTACAATATTACTATAATATACATATGTTCATTTATGATCATATCGCGTGTTCTTCATTACAAAAACCGGTCATTTAATAAAAGTATTTTTGTTGCTTCTCCTCAGTAGCGAAGCACGTGATATATGAGGGATTACGAAAAATATCTAGTTTTTGAATTTATAAAATCTTAATCTTTATAAAGAGTGCCCATTACATCTCTTGCAACCGTGCTTTCTAAGGGAGTCAAAGCTTGAATATGGCGCCTTGTCATCAATGTTTTTCAATTATATGCAAAACATTGTTTATAAAAAAGTTTCAAAGGTTCCAGAAGATCTTTATTACAGTCTGTTCGCTATACTTACGCGGGTTTCGGATTAACAAAATTATGCAAATTAGACAACCAGTTCCAATAAGCCTCTTCCCAAGAAATTAGGTAAAATTGCCCTAATGGTCAGATTTAAATTAAAATAACATTAGGGTAGGTACTAAATTTGTTACAAATATTGCAGTTGAATTGATTATTTGCATGTGTTGACATTGTATGTATATTGTAAATTTAGTGGAAATTTTAAAAATGCCTAGACGTGTGTTAGATGTAGATCGTCTAATTTGTAGTGTACATAAGTCTGTAAAACAACGGTATGAGATGCTCTAGGAATTAGTGAAACCAAATTAAGAGGAGTATTACAAAATCACAATAGTGAATTCCCGAAAGAAGATCACCGCAAAACTCGCCCATCATTGAAAACGAAAGATATTCCAGATGGAAAGAAATTTGAAATTCGTGATACCATTTATCGAATGAGTGCCAACAAGGAACATGTGACCTTAAATACAATTCTCTCGGAATTAATAGATAGAAAATTTGACGACATTGGCAGAACAAGTCTATGGCAAGTGATACATAACTTGGGTTTCAAATTTCAAAAGGAGGATAACAGAAATGCTCTTTGTGAAAGAAGTTCTGTCGTGCACAAGAGAATTAACTTTCTAAGAAAATATTCTAAATTTAAAGAAGAATGGGCGAATTTTATATATTTAGACGAAACATGGATATTTTCTAGGGGGGCAACCAAGAGAATATGGCAAGATGATAACGTAAAGTCCATCAAACATACCGATGGAGAAGGGAAGCGACACATAATTTTACATGCAGGAGGGAAATCGGGTTTTATAGAAGGTGCTGATTTAATATTTTCATCTAAATCAAAATCCAGTAACTATCACGATAATATGAACACAGAAATGTTTGTAAAATGGTTGCATGAAAAACTTCTCCCAGGTTTAAGTGAGCCCAGCGTAATTATTTTAGACAATGCACCTTACCATTCTGAAGTATTAAACAAAAGTCCAACGAATTCTTGAACTGTTGATAAAATTAAAGAATGGTTGACAAAGGAACATATACCATTTCCTCAATATATATTAAAATCAGAATTATTACGCTGGGCAAATATACACGCAAAACCAAAAACCTTTGTTGTGGATCAGATTATTGAAAGTTACGGTCATCAAGTTTTACGTCTGCCACCGTATCATTGCCAGTTTAATCGCATCGAATATATATGGGGAATAGCAAAACAATATTATGACAACCGTATTGGGCCTAATGGTTATAGTGACGACGCAGTTCGGGAAACTTGGCGAAAAGCACTTTCAATTGCAACTCCAGAAGTGTGGCGGAACTGTATATCCAAGTGCGAGAAACTAATAGAAGATTGGTGGACTTGTGAAAATAAAATAAACGAAATAAGTCCAATCATAACAATTAATGGTGATGACAGTGATGATGATGACGATTATGATATTTTGGATGATAATGACTGATTTTCATTTTTGTTGGCAAGTTCAATTTTTTTATTTTTCATTTGAAATTCTCTACATGGAACAAATTTTTATGTTAGAGAATATTTTATTTGAGCTAAATAACCCTTTTATTATACATAAACCATATTTTCTGTGTGAAGTGTAATATAAAATTATTTTTAGGTTTATAATAGCCACATTAGACTCCATTAATGAAAAAGTTTAATTCTGCTCCCAATTATACAAAAGATTCTCCATTATTATTTAATTAAAAAGTTGTACATTATTTTTCATTTCATTTAACCAGTTGATATTTCTCCAAAGAACAGGTTAAACTTTCGGGTACTTACCTGGAAATACTTTTAATCCGAAACCCGCGTAAGTATAGCGAACAGACTGTATTTATATTAAGGCCGCAAGAAAGAAGTGTAATTAAGGTGTAGGTCACTATCTAGATTACATTTTAGATTAGCATCTGGTCAATTATTGTCAAGGGTAATATAATAGGCGATAGCCCCACATATGAGTTATAGGTAAGGGAATTAAAAGTCCTTTGTCACAATGATGTATTATTTACAGTTGC